TGCTCCCTGGCGGGCGCGCCCCGCCCCCTTGGTGCTCGTGGGGGTTGGGCTTCGGAGGCTGGCGCCGAGAAGTCGGTCCTGGCCCGTTGGGTTACGACTTACAGGTGCTGGCCCCTGGAATCTGGCTCTAGGGGGGGCCCTCGGCCCGCCAGAGGGCGGCGTACCCTCCACCCTTCGGCTTCTGCTCGCTCGCTCGATCGCTCGCTCGATCGCTCGCTTGTCATCATCCTCCTCCGCCTCCTCCTCCTCCTGATCCATTCGTTTCCTTCTAGGTAACTCCTCCCTGTTGCGCCGAAAAGGCTGACCAGGCGTTTCGCCTGAGACTTCATCACCCCCGATGCCCCTGCCTTGAAATTGTTAACAGTTTACATATGGAGGACGGGTCGCTTCCAAATTGTGGCTCTCGCCATGGCGCCGCGCACATTCTTGCTTAAAAGTTTCACAAGCTTCACATATTGAGGGCGGGTGGTGTTCAAAATGTGGTTCTCGCTTCAGCGTCGCGCGCATTCGTTTGAAACATTTGCAAGAATTCCATGCATTGCGGGCGGGCCCTGTTCGACATGAGGCTCTCGCCTCCGCGCCGCACACATTCGTTTTGAAAACTCGCAAGAGCTTTGCGGATTGAGGGCGGCTCCTTTCAAAATGTGTCTGCATCAGCGCGCACATTCGTTCTAAAACATGGCAAGAATTTCACGGAGTGAGGGCGGGTCATTCTCAAAATGTGGTTATCGCTTTAGCCCCGCGCCCATTTGTTTTTAAATGTGCGATAGCTTCACGGGTTGAGGGCAGGCTGGTTTCAAAATGTGCATATCGCCCGAGTGCCGCGCACATTCGTTTGAAAATGTGCTAGAGTTTAACGTATTCCGTGCGGCTTGTTTTCGAAATGTGGCTCTCGCCTGAGCGCCGCGCACATTCGTTTTCTGTATTTGCAAACCTGAAGCGTACCAAACATGGTGCTTGGAACGGTTCAGGACTGTCAGGGCGCAACAGTTACTTTGATTCGCGGTGTTGAAGTCCCAGGAGAAGCGTTCTGGTACGATTCTGGATCGTCAGGACGTAACAGCCATATTAGCTCGTGGTGTTGAAATCCTGAAACTGGTGTTTTAGAACGCTTCGGGATGTTCACACGGTTGCCCCCCAACGGAGCGATTCCATCAATGGAGATGAACCCTTGTAGGGCCCTATGAGGAGGGATCTTGGAGGGAGGTTGCATTTCAACATCGTTGATGAGCCTCTGGGTTTACACTGGTCCTCCTCCTCCTCCTGCTCCTGCTCCTCCTCCTTTTTCTCCTCCTCCTCCTCCTCCTCCTCCTCCTGCCCCTCCTCCCACCCATCCTCCTCATCCTCCCCGTCCTCCTCATCCTCTCCCTCCTCCTCCTCCTCCTTTTTCTCCTCCTCCTCCTCCTCCTCCTCCTCCTCCTGCTTCTCCCCTCATCCTCCACCTCCTCCCACTCCTCCTCCTCCTCTTCCTGCTCCTCCTCCTCCTCCTCCTCCTCCTCCTCCTCCTCCTCCAGTCGTTTTCCTTCTAGATAACTCCTTCTCGTCGCGCCCCGAGGCCGGTCGAAAGGGCTGGCCAGGCGTTTCGCCTGAGACTTCCTCACCACTTGTGACCCTGATGTTGAATATTGAAAACAGCTTCACACCCGGAGGGCATGTCGTTTTCAAAATCTGGCTCTCGCCTTGGCGCCGCGTACATTCGTTCTAAACTTTGCGATGACTTCATGGATTGAGGACGGGTCTTTTTCAAAATGCGGCTCGCACCTTAGCGCGCGCACATTCGATCTAAAACATTACAAGAGCTTCACGGATTGAGGGCGGGTCATTGTGACAATGTGGCTATCGCCTTGGCGCCGCGCACATTCGTTCTACAGCATGACAAGGAGCTTCATGGATTGGGGGCTGCTCTTTTTCGATTTGTGGGCCTCGCCTTAGCGCCACGAGCACTCGATATAAAATCCCACCAGTCCTCTGGGCGTCGGTGGTTTAGAGCGTTTCCTCTTCCACCCCTCCTTCTTCCCCTTCGGGGAGGGGTTTACCCCTCCCCCTACCCCCTCCCCACTGACCTGGACAGGGGGGGCCGCGGGTAGTTAGAGCGTCCAAGATCGACTCCTGGGAAGGCTAAAATTCGACACCCCTCACGAGGATCGTGGCTCCTGAGGGGGGGACTGTAATTAGGGAACCCCCCTTCGTTGATCGATCTCCTCCAAGATTGTTCCAAAAGACGTCTTGGATCCCCTCTTGGGCTCTGCGCGCGGGCGGGCGGAGCGCCGCCCGCCCGCCCGCAAGGCCCAAGAGCCCACCAAAACGTTCGAAGAAACTTACAATACGCCACCAGGGAGGAGGAAGAGGCGGAGGAGGAGGAGGAGGAGGAGGAGGAGGAGGAGGAGAGGGAGGAGGAGGAGGAGAGGAGGAGGAGAAGGCGGAGGAGAAGGAGGAAGAGGGGAGGAGAACAGCTGCCGATCATCGGCGCTCTTCGTTCGAGTGCCTGGTGTAGGATGGGCTGGTGGGGATACGCGAAGCGTCAAGAATTCGCGAGAGCTTCACGGATTGAGGGCGGGTCGTTTTCAACATGTGGCTCTCGCCCTAGCACCGCGCACACTCGTTTGAAAAACGTGCTAAGGAGTTCCACGAATTCAGGGCGGCTTCTTATAAAATTACGGCTTTCGCTTTAGCTCCGCGCAGATTCGCTTCAAGAATGTGCAACGTCTTCACGGGTTGAGGGCGGGTCGTTTTCAATATGTGACTCTCGCATTGGCGCCACGCACGTTCCTTTTCAAAATGTGGCTCTCGCCTTAGCGCCGCGCACTTTGGCTTCTTGTAGTTGCAAGAGGTTCACTGGCTCTCATGGTTCACGCACCAGAAAAATATTTTGGAACGGTTCAGGACTGTCAGGGCGCAACAGTTATGTTCCGGCACGATTCTGGATCTCAGTCGGGTTGACTCGTGGCGTTGATGTCCCAGGGATGGTGTTCTGGCACGCTTCAAGATGTTCACGCTGTCGTCCTCCAACGGGGCAATTCCCAAAGTGGAAATGACCCCTTGTAGGGGTCTGCCAAGAGGGATCTTAGAGGGAGGGTGTATTTCAACATCGCTGATGAGTCTTGGGTATACACTGGTCATCCTCCTCGTCCTCCTCCTCCTCCTCCCTCCTCCCGCCTCCCCTCCCTCCTCCCTCCTCCCTCCTCCTCCCTCCTCCCCCCTCCCTCCCCCCTCCTCATCCTAATCCTCATCCTCCTACTCCTCCTCCTCTTCCTCCTCCTCTTCTTATCATGATTCATACCAAACAGGTTATTATTACCTAGATGTTGATGACTTTCTTAACAATAATACTAATAATAATAATAATAAGAATAAGAATAATAATAATAATGATGATGATGATGGTAATAATTGAAATACTAACTATTAGTATTATTATAGTAGTAGTAGTAGTAGTAGTAGTAGTAGTAGTAGTAGTAGTAGTAGTAGTAGTAGTAGTAGTAGTAGTAGTAGTAGTAGTAGTAGAAGTAGAAGTAGTAGTAGTAGTAGTAGTAGTAGTAGTAGAAGTAGTAGTAATAGTAGTAGTAGTAGAAGTAGAAGTAGTAGTAGAAGTAGTAGTAGTAGTAGTAGTGGTGGTAGTAGTAGTAGTAGCAGTAGTAGTAGTAAGCGCAGCAGTAGTAGTAGTAGTAGTAGTAGTAGTAGTCGTCCTCCTCTTAATCCTCACCACCCTTAGCATCAGCATCAGCATCAGCATCATCATCAGCATCATCATCATCATCATCAACAACAGCCTCATCATCTCCATCATCATCAGCATCGTCATCATCACCCGCATCACCATCAGCATCATCATAAGCATCATAAGCATCACCATCATCGTCATCAGCATCATCATCGTCATCATCATCTGCGTCATCAGCATAATCATCCGCATCATCATGGTCATCATCAGCGTCAGCATCATCAGCATGATCAGCATTACCAGCAGCATCATCACCAGCACGACCACCATCAGCATCATCAAAAGCATCATCATCATCACCACCAACACCATCATCATCATCATCATCATCATCATCATCATCAGCAGCATCGTCATCATTTATCAACGTCATCAGCATCAGTGTCAGCATCAGCATCAGCAGCAGCATCATCATCAGCAGCACCACCATCATCATCATCATCAGCAGCAGCAGCGTCATGATCAGCATCATCATCAGCACCATCATCATCAGCATCATTATCAAAATAAACAGCAGCATCACCATCCTCATCATCATCCGCATCATCAGCAGCAGCATCATAAGCAGCATCATCATCATCACCATCATCATCATCATCATCATCATCAGCATCATCATCATCATCATCATCAGTATCATCATCATGATCATCATCATCATCAGCAGCATCAGCACTATCATCATCAGCATCAGCATCATCAGCATCATCATTATCAGAATCAGCATCATGATCATCATCAGCAACAGCATCATCAGTATACTCATCATCATCAGCAGCATCATCACAATCAGCATCATCAACATCATCAGCAGCATCATCATCAGCATCGGCATCATCATCATCATCAGAATCATCGTCATCATCAGCATCGTCATCATCATCGTCATCGTCATCGTCATAGTCGTCATAATCACCATCGTCGTCAGCATCATCATCATCATCATCATCACCACCATCATCATCATCATCATCATCATCATCATCATCATCATCATCATCATCATCATCATCATCATCATCATCATCATCATCATCATCGTCCATCTCCCCCTCCCCCTCCTCCTCCCTCTCCCCCTTTCCCTCCCCCTCTTTATCCCCCTCCCCCTCCCCCCCCCAAATGCCCATCCTACCTCATCGCCATCCTCGCCCCTCCCCCCACCCATCGCAGCCCCTCCCCCGCGTCACCCTGCGCTGCCCCCACAGCCCCCCGCGGAGCGTCCTCTGGGGGGGAGGGGGGGGGGGCAACAGGGCGGCGGGCGGCAGAAGGCGGAGGGCGCCTCCGCGGCCACGCGGGCTTCCGTCTCCGCCCTCCGGGCGGCGGCTTCCCGCGCGGCGGCCTCCCGCGCGGCCGCCTCCCAGGGGGGGGGGGGAAGACGGGGGGGGGGAGGACGATCGCGAATCGAGTAAGCGTTTCTGGGGGGAGGGGGGCAAGCGGACGCCAAGATGAAGCATCCAACTGTACACCCCGTCTGTCCTGGGTGTGCGGCCAGAATCTTCAGGGAAGAAAAAAAGCAGCAGGAAACTTGAACGGTAGCTGTGCTACACGCTCCTTGTAAAGGCCGCGCAGTCGCTTAGAGGGCGATGTGTATTTCGCGGTGTTGGAGGTGACCTAATCGGTGCGAGTGGGCATTGTGACGGGCGCGAGGGGGGTTGCAATGCGCCCTCCACTGGTGGTGATGCAGTGATACATGTCCAGGTGCGACTCGGGGTGCGAGTAATATGGCGAGCGCGAGTAACATCGCAATCCGCCGACCCCTTGGGGTCACGGCGTGGGAGATGCTCCCCCCTCCCCGAACCCCTCCCCCAGGGGCCCGGTCCGGCCGGTTTGGAAGGGGGGGGGGGGGGGGGGGGCAAAGGTGTCGGAAGCACACTTGGAGCCTCAGAAGGACCCAGAACGGACCAAAAAGGCTCAAATTATCCCAGTGCGACCCGACCTAGGAGTTGGAGCATAAGCAACATTTACATTTACACCGATAGCCACTTTAACATTTACATCTACATCAACATCAACAGCGAGACTCACATCTACATCTACATATACACCTACATTTACATCTACATCTTCACCTACATCCACATCTACACCTACACCTACAGTTACATCTACATCTACACTTTCGCATTGGTTTTGCTTTTGCTTTGCATTGCCTTGCCTTTGCTTTTGCTCTTGCTTTTGCTTTGCTTTTGTTTTTGCTTGTGCTTGATGTTGTGTTTGCTTTGCCTGCGAACAGACACACACACGCATGTTTTCGCATTCGCTCACCGGGTGTGCTTGAGAATGCTCCGTATCCGGTCTACACCGCACGACTTGGCATTGAGCAAGGTTGTGCAACACTTGCTACACCGAGCGTTCCTACGACCTGTCCAGCCATCGATGGCCGGTCCGGCCATCGAGGCTAGCTCGGCACCTGTCGCACATTGCTGTTGCTGTGCCTTTCCTTTACTTTGCGTTTGCTTTTGCTTTGCTTTGCTTTGCGTTGCTTGTGCGTTGCTTTGCTGTTCCTGCTGTTGCTCTGCGTTTGATGTGATGCTATGCTATGCTATGCTAAGCTATGATATGCTATGCTATGCTATGATATGCTATGGTGTGCTGCGCTATGTTATGCGATGTTATGCTAGGGCATTCTAGGCTGCGCTATGTTATGCTAGGCTATGCTATGCGATGTTATGCTGCGCTATGCTATGCTATGATATGCTATGATATGCTGCGTTACGCTATGCTATGCTATGCTATGCTATGCGTCGCTCTGCTATGCTATGCTAGGCAATGCTATGATATGCTATGCTGCGCTATGCTATGATATGATATGCTATGCTGCGCTATGATATGCTATGGTATGTTATGCTGCGCTATGCCATGCTATGCTGTGCTGCGCTATGCTATGATATACTATGCTATGGTATGCTGTGATATGCTATGCTATGCTGCGCTGTGATATGGTAAGCTAAGCTATGCTATGCTATGCTACGCTGCGCTATAATATGATATGATATGTTATGCTATGCTTCGCTATGATCTGCTGCGCTATGCTATGCTGCGCGATGCGATGATGCGCTATGCTATGCGATGCTATGATATGATGTGCTATGATATGTTATGATATGATATGGTATGTGAATGCTGCGCTGCGCTAAGCCAAGCTGAGCTAAGCTAACCCCATCCCCACGATAATAATGTACCCCCCTATACACATAAGAGTTGATTATTCACGGCCAATAAGAGTTTGGTCGGGGGCGCGGGGCGCGGAGGCCGAACTTCATTATCACGGGGAAAAGTGCGCCATCGAGGTTACTTCCTTCTTATGTTGAGATAACAGCACAAAGCGATGCAAACACGTTGTTTCAGGATGTCTCAAGCGAAACCAATGTCCTTATGTCCCTTTGTAGTTCGTAGTTCTTTATGTGTTTCTTTCTTTATTTCTCTGTCTCTCTCTCTCTCTCTCTCTCTGTCTCTCTATCTCTTTCTCCTCCTCCTCCCCCTGGCGCCCTGAACTTGTTTACCGCTGGGGTTGATTATCCTGGGAAAACGAGACGCGTGAGCTACCCTACACGAGCAGATGAAAAGAAAAAAAACATTAAGCGTTTAGAAATTAAATCTAATAAGTTTCTCCTCTCCTCCTCTTGCTCTTTCTCTTTATCCTCCTCCTCCTCTTCCTCCTCTACCTCCTCTTATCGTTATATAATTCTATGTCTCTCTCCATCTTTCTTCTCCCCCTGCCCCCTGAACTTGTTTATCGCTGTGGTTGATTATCCTGGGAAAACGAGGCACATGAGGAATCTCTGTAGAAACTCCGAGCTTCAGTTCCGCATTATAAAAAAAAATAAAGAGCCGGCATGTTCCTTCAGCCTCCTTAAAGGGCTCCAGAATTTGTCAATTTCGTTTTTGGAATTAAATGTCGATTTATTAATGGTGAATAATATAGAAGTGGAGCTCAGAGGCGCGCGCGCGCACCTCCGAGCTTCAGTTCTGCATTATATATATATATGTGTGTATATATATATATATAAACACACACACACAAAAAAAAAAAAAAACGACACGTTCCTTCAGGATGTTTCAGTGAGGACCAAAAGCTAAGGAGGTCTCAAGATATCCTCGGTTTTGGCTCCTCTGTTAACATCTTTATGCTGGCCTCTGGTGGGCAACTTTTATTATCACCCCGTAACCGCCGAACTTCATTTTCCCTGGGGGCTTATTCTCGGGAGCACGGGGTTAAGCTAAGCTAGGCTAGGCTAGGCTAGGCTAAGCTAAGCTAAGCTAAGCTAAGCTAAGCTAAGCTAGGCTAGGTTAAGCTAAGTTATGCTCTGCTAAGCGAAGCTAAGCTAAGCTAAGCTAGGCTGAGCTAAGATGAGATAAGCAAAGCTAAGCTAAGGGGGCGCAACTGGGGGAACCGCGGGGCGGATACTGGGGGAACCGCCTGGGGCGCTTTCCACTGCCAGGCCCCTTTAAGCCCAGAGAGTAAGAACCCTTCTAGGCAGAGCCTAGGTAGGGAAATGGTTTTGGAACGGTCCAAGAGAGCTACGAGTCGATGAAAGATCGTTTCAAAACGCCGAAGATTGCCTCCAAACGGCCTCATCAGTCCTCAAGACTCTTGAAAAAGTACTACGAGGCGCCCCATGAAGGCCCTCCAGAAGCAAAAATCGTCCCTTCCCTTTGGAAAAAATGCATTTTCAGCACATTCGCCTTTTGGGCTTCCACGCGGCCCACAACGGCCCAAGAAGCCTCCAAGATCGACCCTCCGCAGCCTACGAGGCTCCCAAAGGCTCCACGACGGCTTCCCGGCGATACACGTAGGCCCCAGAAACCATAGCGACGGCCTGGGAGAGCCGCAGGACGGCCCCAAGAGGCTGCCCAGACGGCCCACGCAGGGGACGAGTCGATCCAAACCGCCCAAGATTGCCTCCAGACGGCCCCATAGGCCGTCCAAGACGTTTGAAAACGCATCCACGAGATGTTCAAAAAAGGCCTCCAGAAGCAAAAATGATCCATTTCCCGAAGGGAAACATACATGTTCAGTACATTCGCTTCTCGGGCTTCCACGAGGCCTACAACGGCCCAATAAACCTCCAAGTTCGACCCCCGACACCCCAAGAGGCTCTCAAAATGCTCCACGACGGCTTCCGGGCGCACCACGTAGGCCTCAGAAACCACAGAAACGGCCCAGGACAGTCACGAGACGGTCCCACGAGAGCCCCACAACGGGCCAAGAAGGTCCCCAAAGGCCCTGTGGACGGACCACGAGGGGGGCGATTCGGTCCAAACCGCCCCAGCTTGCCTGCAGGCGATTTCCTATAGGCCCCCGAGACGTTTGAAAAAACTACTGCGAGGCGCCCCACGAAGGCCTCCAAAAGCAAAAAACGTTCCATTCCCTGGGGGAAACATACATGTTCAGCACATTCGCCTCTTGGGCACCCACGAGGCCTACAACGGGGCTCAAGAAGCCTCCCAAATCGACCCCCGAATTACAGCCCCAGAAGCTTTCGAGAGGGTTCCAAAACGGCCGCCGGGCGCCCCACAGGGTCCCAGAAACCATAGCAACGGCGCTGGAGAGCCGCAGGATGGTCCCAAGAGGGCCACACAACGGGCCAAGAGGGTTCTCAAAAGGCCCCTTGGTCGGCCCAAGTCGTTCAACAGTGCCCCAAGTCGTCCAACATTGCTTCCCAACAGCCCAGCAGGCTCCCAAGACACCTCAAGAAGCTACCCAGAGGCGCCCCAGGAAGCCTTCCACAAGCCACGACCGTCCCAGTCTCGATGAAAAGCACATGTTTCCAACGCGTTTGCCTCTTGGCCTCTCACGCGGCCCCCGAGACCCCTTGCGCGCCCCAACACGCTACCAGGACGCGGCCCAAGAGGCCCTCCGCAAGCAAATGTCGGCCCTCCTCTCTTGAGCACTTCGCCCCGAGAAAACATGAAAGGGCGCCTAAGTGCACCCGAGAGGCCCTGGCGGATCCACGCTGCCCCCGAATGACCCCGGAGGCGGCCCTTCGACGACGAAAACCATGAAAATACTATGAAATAAACTGAAACTCTGCAACAAGATTCGCTTCTTTTCCCCACGCAAAAATCGTTCACCACGGGCCCCCTGGGCCCTTCCCAGAATCCAGTCGAAGTCGTTTTCCCGAATGCATCCAGCCGCGGCGACAGGGAAGGGGCCCGAAACCCCCGAACCACAACAAACCTCCCGAATCCGATGGGCTACTCCGCATAAACTTGTTCCCCGAACCTCTCCCCGGGTCCGTTGATGCAATTTCTCACCCCGGGGCCGTCCAGTTTTGAAAATCCTGGGGCCCAGCAACGGCCCCTGGAGACCGAAACCTATCAAAAACAGAAGCTGTTCAAACAGAAATCTCT